TGTAGGAATTTTATAAACGATGTTTATGGACACAATAACCAGTCATATACATTTCCTTCATAATTTTCTTTAAATTCGGCTACAATCTTCCAAGCCACAATGTTTTCTTATCCGAAAAACAAGAAACCGACATTTACTAGAAACCGTTCATATTCAAATTTCAAACTCATTACATTCCATAAAATACAATTTCAATTTGTTATTCTAGTTTACTTTGGATTCTATCAACAAAATATTAATATTTAAAAAATAATAATAGTAACATACTCAACAAAAACAGTAACATGGTCACTAAAAAAATAGTAAGATACTGTCAAAAATTGGTGACATGGTCAAATGTAATAACAATTAGGGATTTAATTCTGTCAAAGTGGATATTAACCTTGTAACCAAGATTCAAGAGAACTCATACATTAGTACTAAATTAAAGTGTTACTATGGAAAAAGTTCATGTTACTGTAAGTGAACTGAAAAATAAAATTCAGAATTTCGATATCTTGATGTTCACAATTGGTGTTGAGTGTCGTAATTCAACTGTTAATTGTGTGTTACTATTTGTCATTTTGTAAGATTTTAATTTGTGGATCGTATTTTTACTAAAATCATTCAAAAGTTAATATTACTATAAAAAAACTATTGTCTTATATTTTATAAAATTAGATGTGTTATTGAGCATAAAGCTTTCATGTTACTATGAATATTAAAGTGTACATTACATAATACACGTTTCAAGATTTGCAATTGTATGTTAAAATTTACTATAGTAACATTAGTGTCAATGTAGTAACATGACTATACTGGTAATACAATCTTAATTGTAACTTCAATCATATAGTAACATGAATGTTACTATTTATTAACATTTGTGTTACTAAACTCTGTTGGCATTGTTTAGCCTCTCTATAATATGCATTATTGTTGTTAAGCAAATTTTGTAATCTGATTTTGACATAATAGACCAACAATTTATTCGTACATTAAGTTTCTCATATATAACTATCAGAATATATAATTTCCATATAAAACTTCTGTTAATTATCATAATATTTAATAAACAGTTTTCATATATAATTCAATCAAAGGTTTCCATATATACCTTAATGATTTAATTTATGTGACTTTCTATAATTAAACAAAATTAACACCGTTAGGGATAATTTTGAAATTTAAAAAATAAGTAGACTTAAGTATCTACATATAAGTTTAAATATGGATTTACCCCAAATAAGTTTTCTTCAAAAATTCAAGTCATTATAAATTCATCTAAGAGAATTCATGCTCAATTTTCGCAAAAGAAATCATAACCTATCCAAATCCGTTATTCAACACACACCCTTGAGGTACACTAGATAGCCCCAACAAGCTTAAAGGAGGGGCAATAGAGAGAATTATTCCACCTTATCTAGATAGGTATGACTCATCAATAGAATCAACATCACATCACAAACTTCTCTAAAAAGACATGTCACACTTAGGTTAAAAAAGGGGACCACCCTATAATTACGGGAAGATCACACTAGACTATAGATGTATTAGCTAACCCTTGATTCCCAAGAAAGGGTAAGTGTAAATTCATTCTAACTCTTCAAGCAACGCGAACTTTCGGTGCAAGAGATTTTTTTGGAATAAATTTACCTAACACTTTAACTTATGAACCACTTAAAACTTTGTGTTATTTATCACGGTTAACAGGCATACACACACATTGACCTATTTCACCATCCAGAGAGGAGCTTTTCAGTTCTCCCAGCTCATATCTCTGTTTTTTGCATCATCACCACGAAACACCTACTCTCCCACCACAGCACCACCACTAAACACACCCCTAAAGAATTGTAGAAAAATTCCGAGGAAAAAGGAGTTGTAATGCTTTTAATTCGGCGAAGAATTTGAACATCACCACCCAGACTTTCTCTGCCACCCGCCACCACCCATTCCAACAACAAGCAATTCATCCATCACCCCCAATATCTTTACCCAGCATTAACCAAATGAAAGACAAAAGACAAGGATATCTCGGATCCAAATTTGACCCTCGTTGCCAGTGAACCAATTGATTCAACAACAAAACTTCCAAATTCAACCACTAATTCAATTTCCAAACCACACAAATTCAACCCATCACTTCCAATTTCTTGATTTTTGCTGAAAATCAACAGTCATCCCGTAGCTTCGATTTTCTATGGTGCGTGGGGGTGGGGTGGTGTTGCAGGTTTTTAGCTGGGAAGGGATGGCGACGTTTGTCATGCGGTGTGTTCCTTTAATTATGGATGATTATATTTTATACTTTTTTAAAAATTTAATGGTCATATTATATTTTATTTTAAATTTGAAATTGTTTTTTATTTAAATTTGAATTTTTTTTAAATTTAAATTTTTTATTAAATTTTATATTAAATCAAATTTTTTACTCAAATATTAATTTAAATTTTAATAAAAATTTGAGTCAAAATCTGCTTTTGGGGCAGGGGATCTGAGTAAAACACAAAAAGAACTAAAGCTAATTTTTTATTTTCATTTCTGTCCTTTGTTTTTTTGTAAAATACCATAAATATCCCCAAAGAGTCACGTGATGGGCACATAAAATTTTTGGTCCATTTTTTAAATTATAGTTAGTGGAAAGGATTATATTGCCTCAATATTTGAATTTTAAAAAATTAAATTAATAAAATTAAAATTTTAAAGCAAATTTTATGTTGACATCATATCTTTAAAGCAAATTTGATGCTGTCATCAAATCCCAATTTTCTGATTAAAAAAAATGCGCACAACAGTTATGGTGAAATCTATTTGAAGGTATCTAGTTGGATTCGGGTGGGATTGGATAATCAGATATAATATTTGCTTCATCTCCAAATAAACAAAATTCAAATTGAATTAAAATTAGGTCTATTGATAGACTCAATAGCCCATTGCAAGTGACACGAAAAAAGATTTTAAGGATATAGAAGAAATTTGATGTTGACATTGATTTCACTTTTCTAATTAGAGAAAATAAGTACCCAAGAGAAATGGTTAAATCCATTTTAAGAGATCTAATATGACTCGGATTGGATCGAGTAATCGGATAAAATTTTGCTTCATATATGAATGATGTCCATATATACTGATTTGGATTGAATCAAATTTGTATTAAAACATGGCCCGAATAGGGGGTGTCCATGGGCTGGGCCAAGCTAGACCCGTGAATTTTTTTCAGGTCGGGTTAGATAGTATAGATCCAAACTCTTATCCAAATGAATTATTGGGTGGACCAGACCGGAATTCGAGTAAGAGTAGGCTATCCGCAGTCCAACCCATGAGCCTATTGGACGGGTTATGGGCATGCTTTTTTGTATACAACTTTATTTAAAAATAATAAATATTTTTGTAATTTAATATTTGTGTAAATTATATTTTTGAATCAAAAATAGAGTCAAAATGGATAAAAATAAAATAATTAATAATTTTATTTTTAATTAGCGGATGAACTACATCCAATAAAATGAATATATGATAACTAAGTTGACACCTACCCCCTTATCTATCATTTGCATTACTCTATCATTTAAAACTTGTATGCTTAATTTATGAAAAAAAAAAATAATACATTATTTATATTATCTAAATTTTTGAAATTTCAAATTTCGACATTGAGAGACTTATTTTAAAGTTTCAAATTTAATAGTCTAAAAGTATAATTGTTTTTCAAAAGAAGTGTAGGGGGGCAGGCTCTTGGGCCAGGTTTGAAACGAATTTTTTTCATGTGGGCTATTAGGCCGGGCTTAATGGGTTTGGGGGCAAATCTAAGCTCTCTTTTTAAGGATATTGAGTTTGGGCTCGGGCTTGGATGAGCCAACTATCAAATCTATCGAGTTTCGAACTGAATAACGAAACCCATAGATAACCCAACTCGTGGACACCCCTAGGCCAGAACATCGACTCAACAAAAAAACCAAGTTAATGAATCAATAGTTTAGTCGTTGGGTTAATGGTTGGACCAGTCATATAGTGAAAAATAGTGAAAATTGAAGTTAAGTCATCTTTAGTGGATTTTTAATGAATTTAGTATATCAGTTAAACTTATTTGGGGATAAGTCTTACTTTAATCTTACTAATAGTAATTAACTCTACAATATTTTAAAAACTCAAATGCCCTTCATAGGGAAATCAACACATTTGACTTCTATTCACCTACCTATTTAATGTCTCCCATCTCTTGCAGCCCTTTTTTTTTCTCCCTCTCATATTTATCTACTAGTTAATACTTCTTCCGGAAGACATTATGTAATATAAAAAAAATCACCAAATTAAATATTTTTGAGATCAATTCTTTTAGCATCAACAAAGAACATATTTTTCAATAAACACTACCACCATGCAAAACAATCACAACAATAATCCAAAAATCAAATTTGCACATGTGCTACTTTGTACAATAAAAAGGTTTGGGATTTTATTATGCACAATCTTGGTTTGGTAATACTTTAAGTTATTTTGGTAAATAAAATCAATTTTATTCATTGGGAGAATTAGCATTATAGAAGCAGGACGAAAGAGAAAAAACACCTTAAAGAAAACAATACATACTCAGTAATACAAATCAGGAAGTTGCAATTTTAATTAACCAACTTGAATCAAACAAATTCAAATTAACACACTGCACAATTTGACATTCAAAGCCAATGAAAATTTTGAGAGTTGATATTTAGATGATGAAAATGCATGTTAAAAACAAAAAGTAACATGAATTCAAGCAATAATAAAACTATTATTACTAGGTCCAAATTTGAATTTCATCGATAGTAAAACTATTCCTAGATATTGCCCATACTAGAAGTCACTATGTAATAAATAAAAAAATCACAAAAACTTGGTCGCGACTGTAAGCATTGCATAATACAAAAAACTCAATCACGCATAAAATTCTTGTATAACATTAAAAAAGATTGACACATTTTTTAAAATTAAACCTCGGCTTAATAAGCGAAATTTTATTCAATAATTCAAAATTTAAAATCCTAACCATGAGGACTTAAAACCTTACACCCTATATATAGCCGTGCGTGAAATCCCTTCCTTATCTGCATGAACTTAAAAATATCTCCCAGTAACTTGTCCACAAAACCTTCATTAGTGAGAGCAGAAGATCTGATTTGATTTCCTCCTCCACTACCATAAAGCTCGGTTTCATACCTCCATGATGCCATAGATCCAAAAATCAAACTATGGCTAAGAAAACAAAATCAAACCAAAGAACAAAATCAAAGAACAATAATCAGGAACAAAATAAAAAAAAATTGTCCACTTTCAAATGATGAAAGGAAAAAAAAAAGGGGGCATACTTCATAGAAGCCTATATGATTTTAACATAATATTACCAAAACAACACACAAAAATGTGCACAACATGGCCGGAGACAAAACAGGGGCAATTCATTAAAAAACACACCACACAAACTGACCAAGAAGATGATCATAATGAAGACAAAAAGATTGAAAAATGTACTAATCACCTCATGCCTGTGAAGTGTTTCTACCTTTAGACAGTGAGTATTGTAACACTGCCACATAGATGGCCACGTCAATAGGTCACTCCAGGGAATTCTAAGGAGGTTGTGGTTTGGTGAGCCAAGAGAGAGTTTTAGCTTGGGAAAATGTCTTGTAGGACCCAATGTATCACCATACCAAGCAAATGCTCGGCCCACCATGTGGGGTCCCACTATAATTGGGGTCCATAGATATACCTCCTACCTAAACGGCATAATCCGAGGAGAGAATGGAAAAAGAGAAATTAGGATATATGTATCAAGATAAATAGGATTGTGGAACAGACCTTGAGCAAACATAATCAGGGTCCTAGGACTAGGTTTCTGCAACAAGGTCTTGAGGTAAGATCTCGTTGCAAGGTGTGTTGCACTACCTAATTAATACTTGAGACACCTGTCACCAATTTATTGACTTGCAACACATGTGTGGCCTTCCTCTATAAATACTCTTATATTCTCATAAGGACAAGGGTTTTTTTGGATGGGTTCTAAGCCTTGAGAAGACAGCCTCTCTCTCTCTCTCCTCTTCTTCCTCTTCTCCATTCTTCACACCCTCCTCTTGGGTCTCTCCAGTAGTGACCTGTATGAACCCATTTAACTCCCCATCTACACTACCTTATCAAAACCAAACTTGATGATGCACAAAATAAGCTGATGCACAATCAACAGTCGAGTGTAAGATTCAAAATAATTAATGAGACAATCAATAAAGCAATTAATAATAGAAGGTAAAGATTAGGTCAACATAGGCAACACATAGATTTATAGTGGTTCGGTCAAGGTGAACCTATTTTACTTCAAAGGTGGTGACGGTGGCTGAAGAATTTTATTAATAAAGTAGATGATGGGGGAGAGAGCAAGATTAAGCTTTAGGAGAGGTTGGGTAGCTATGAGAGATAGCTTTGTGTAAGGGTGTGAAGAGAGATGTGTAAAATGTGTATCCCTCATGTGTAGAGGATTTATAATTTATAGGCATAGAGCCTTAGTTGAGATGGTGGCGTGAAGAGATATGTAACTAATCTATCGGGAAGGATGGCTACAGCTAAGGATAGGTAAAATTAAATATAGTCTCCATTTAGGAGAGTGACTATCCTGATGATTGTTCCCCACATGCTCTAATATTCTTGGATTCCTTGATCTTTATACTAGGCCGAACTCCATGAGCTGAGGTTGACCTGCTTTGTAACTAATTTGGGCTTACTTAATGAATTGGGCCTAACCTAGTTAAATCTGGGCTCATCAAAAACCACAAAAAGAACTGGGTAAAATTCTAACAAAAATATACCACTTCGTAAAAAAATCAGCCCATAAATACCCGTACCAAAGACACTTTATAAAGTTTTCCCATAAATGTCAATTATTAAACCAACCACCTAATGAATCCCAGCAAGAAATTTTTTTATTGGGAATAATATAAATAAAGAAATATATACACAAAATAAAATCCGAATAATAACGTATGAAATGGGATTTTATGAAATGCCTGTAAAGAGTTTTTATGAATTTTAATATTTCTTTTGTTGATTTGAATTTTAATCAGGCCAAAATCAAATGCAATGGAATTAATTTTGGCATAATGAGCAACAAGGTGTGTAGAAATTTGAAGAGTGAGGATAAATTTTTCAGTTTTGCTAATAGGGCATTATTAATGTACCATTTGTCGGTAGAGTACTATATATGCATCATTTAGGCATAACTTATATTTAGGAGCATAATTTGAGTATGTCATAGAATAGAAACATTCTTATAATGTTAAAATACACTTATTATACGAATTTGAATCTAAACAAAAATAGTTTCAAAATTTGGATAAAAAAAATATCCCGAGTGGCCTAAGTGGGACCGGCCAAATCCGGCCACTAGCGAAAATATATTTTTTTAAAAATATTTATTTAAAATAATTTTAAAAACTTTGGTTAAAATAAAATTTCAAATTGATTCATTTTGGGATGAGTTGTAGTGTAATGGGGTCCCGGATTCATCAAGGGTAAAAGGGTCATTTTGCACCTTTTCCCTCCATTATAAATACAACCCCTAAAATTTCACATTTTGGTCTGAAGAAGGGGTAGTACACGTTCTTGGAGGAAAAATGAAGAAAAATCCTAGGTTCTTTAAGCTTCAAGCCACCAAAACTCATTCCTATGCCAAGATTCTTACAATACTTCCTTCTAAAAAGTTGTTCCTCTCAGCAAGGGCTATATTCTCACCGATCGGTCCAGATATACAACGAACACAACTCTCTAGGTTTGAGAAAAATTATTTTAGGTGTGATATTTTGCTAAGTTAGGAATAAATTTAAGTTTTCTTGCCTTTCTATGTGTTAATTGAATGATTTAGGTGTTTACTTGATGCTGTAAAATCACTTAGGTGGTAGTTGCTTTGAAAACTTAGAGTTAGTAGTTTAAGTATTTTTGTGTTCTTTGAGTTTCTTGATAATTTATTTCTATGATGATGGTGTACCTTGTATATGTGTTGAATTATTATATTCTAGCTTATATTCATGTAGAGAAACTCTTGTGGTTTGAGGGTTGTGATTTATCCCATGAATTGGAAGTTTGTGTGTTTGTATTTTCCTTAAAAAATTGTGAAAGTAATGAACATGAAACTTGATTATATGTTTAATCTATTAAATGGTGCTTCACATTTATGTAGATAAAGCGTTTGATGAAATGTTTCATAGAATTCACATTAAGAAAAATCAAGGCATCTTGGCATACATGAATCCTTGGAACATAGTGTGGGTTGAGCACTTGGTGCTATGCATTAAGAGGATGTAGATCCTGTGGTGAAAAACCCAAAATCTGGCCAATGATAATACTTGCGAGCTGACGGGGGCAGACCGTGAAGCAAGACATGGATGACATAGAGTTGCATGGGTTTTTCATGCAAACTGACATTGCATAGCATTGAGGGATTACAGGGTTATAGCTTTTAAAATGTACACTTGCACATGTCACGCCTTAAATTTGTTCCTAACATTAGCACTTTGTCATACCAGTAGTTGAGCTGACCCATTCCTGGGATATCATATTACAAATGAGGCTCTCCGTACTTGAGACTTGAGGAAGTGTTAAAGGAAGGAGGGGAAAGGGGCTTGAATGGATATTTGGCCTTGGAGCCTATTTTGTATGCATGGGCATAAGCCTAAATGACTTATATTTCAATTTGGATGGATTATAGACCTTGGACCATTTTAAGGTGTAAGGGTGTAAACCCAATTGATATGTAAGATATATTTATGTAATGAGTATCATACGTATATATTGAGACAACTAGACTTTTATGTTAAAAAAAAGGATGTGTGTTTAATTTTCATAGATTGTGGCCACCAAGTGAGAATGGGTTGTGATATATTTTTTTATATGAAATATTGTGGGCATTAGGTGGGAAAAAGGTTTGAAAAACAAAGGAGGCTATGTCGAAATTTTATGAAAAATTAAAAAACTTGTTAAGTGTGTAAAACACCTTTCAAATAGATGGGAAAGATGTCAAAAGGAGTGGTTTAGAAACCTTGAAGAAATAGGCTAAAATTTGAAGAAAAGTGACTGAAAAAACTTTGAAAAAACATGGGAAATGAATGAGAAATCAATTTATCCAACCCAATGACCCTTCATGTACTTTTCTTCTACCTTTCCACTCACTCCCTAGGTTTGTGGAAATTTGGTATGTGACAACTTGGTATCAGAACCTAGGTTTGAATACCTCGAGACTATGGGGTGTTGCTGAACATGATAGGGCCGTGGAAAATAGTTTAAAATTTTAGTGAGCATTATGTTAAGTGTAAGAACTTGTTTGGGGTATGTTAAGACATGTTGTGATTGTTGCTTGTGAAGTGTGAGTTGTTGACATCTATATGCTTCATGTCTTTTCAATGTCTATGTCTAGTGTGAAAAGAGGTATTAAATTTTTTTTCTTGGACTTGTAGACACATGTCACCAAAGAGGACTCTTGTTAGACCTGTAGTACCTAGGCGATATAGGCCAAGAGCAATAGCACCATCGTGGCGTGTTAGGCCACGAGTTGCTGCTCCTACTCATAGCATAGCTGAGGAGGCCGTTACTCCTGCTCCTACACCTGCACCTGCCCCAGCAAAGGAGGTAATGCAGACCATTAGCGCCATAGATATGGCGGCCATTTTACAAGAGTGTTTTTGAGCCGTGCAGGAGACCAGGACTGCAGGTGGCAAGACCAGGGATACCTACGTGATGTAGGTATTCCAAAGGATAAGACCTCCTACATTTGTTGGACAGTCTAACCCTCTAGTAGGCGAGGAGTGGTTAGAGCATATCACTAGGATCCTAAACTCACAAGGGATCATGGAGCCGCATTTGAGGATCAGATGTGCCTCCTCTCATTTTATTGAGTTGGCTAGTCTGTGCTGAAGAATAGCTACTCATCGGATTGACAGTTTCGGGGAGGGATGGGATGCCTTTGTGGCCATATTCAATGACCTCTATTTTCACGAGACTGTATGGATTGTGTATATGGATGAGTTCATGGCTCTCCTACAGTGAGACATAACGGTGACTCAGTATGATTCTGGGTTTATTACATTGGGGAGATTTTTCCCACATGTTATTCGAGAGGAATGACTAAGAGTCCTTTACTTTGTTAAGGAGTTGAAGACCTCCATCAAGGATAGACTAGAAAGCCATATTATGGAGACCTATGATGAGGTAGTGATCAGAGCTACAAAAGTTAAGAAGGAGTTGGCCAACCTTAGAGGGATTAGAGTGGGGCAATTACAGCTCAGGCTTCAACATCTATCCCAATTTACACTGATATGGGACCGGCGAAGAGGTATTGGACTAGTGCTTTGTTTGCATAAACATCGCAACAACCTGCCCAATTTTTAGCTCCTCAACCTCCTATGCCTATTTCTTTCTAGGGGCAATACCTCAAAGGCCCTTACTTGTTATCAGTGTGGACAGCCTGGCTATAGAATGGTCGATTGCCCATAGAAAGCGTGGAGTTGGATCGAGCTAGGGGTCATTTCCACTACTAGTATAGGGTCAGGGGTGGAGAACTCCACAACGTTGCTACACCTGTCACTAGATGAGCCATGTTAGGGCCTACTGTCCTCAGGGGCAAACTTCATAGAGCTCCAAAGGCCACATTACTATCAGCATACTCAGGTGCCTCTGTCACAGCCACAGTTAGACCATATACCTCCGGCACCATATTTTCAGTTTGCACCCTCCGCACAGAGTGTTGGAGCTCCCAGAGAGAGAGGAGGAGGTTAGCAGGGATAGAGAGAGGGAGGTATGCAGAGCTAAACTATTCAGGGTCATGTTTATGCAGTGGCCACACCAAAGACATCTATTTTTGGACCTTCAGTGGTTCGAGGTACATTCCTTGTGTTTAGTTCATGGGTTAGCTTGCTAATAGGCTCTAGTGCATCTCATTTATTCATATCTACCATGCTTGCCATGACATTGGGGTTGGACATAGATCGATTAGATCCAACATTACATGTTGACACCCTAGTTGGGGGTAGTGTGATATTGACTAGGATTTGTAGAGATTGCCTAATAGAGGTAGCTAATCGCATCCTTTATTTTAACTTCATTCTGCTTGACATGTCTGGTTTTGATATTATTTTGGAGATGGATTGGTTGTTTGCTTTTCGGACGAGTATAGATTGTTACAGGGGGGAGTGATAGTGTGTACTCTTTAGAGAGATAGCTTTTATTTCACGGGAGATCGCAGGGATTTCTTAGTTCCACCCTTGTATGACTCAAGGAGTTGGGGAGGTCATAGTTACATATTGGCTAGTTTGGTAGTAGATAGGGATGGGAATACAGAGAGTGTGTTACGACCCATGGTGGATGAGTTTTCAAATATTTTCCCGAGTGACTTTACTAGTCTACTGTCGAGACGAGAGATAGAGCTCACGATAGAGCTTATCCCAGGCACTATGCCTATTTCCATTCCACCTTACTATATGGCTCCAGTAAGCTGAGAGCGCTGAAGGAGCAGTTGACTGATTTCCAGGGTAAGGATTTTATTCATCCTAGTACCTCTCAGTGGGGTGCTTTGGCACTATTTGCGAAGAAGAAGGATGAGACATTGCATTTGTGTGTGGACTATAGGAGGCTGAACAAGGTCGCTATCAAGAACAAGTACCCGTTACCGAGAATAGATGACTTGTTTGATCAACTTAAGGGTTCGAGATATTTCTCCAAGACTGATCTTAGATCGGGGTATCATCAGTTGAGAGTACGGGAGGAGGATGTGGTGAAGATAGCTTTTCGCACTCGTTATGGCAATTATGAGTTCGTGGTTATGCCATTTGGTGTGACGAATGCCCTAGCGGCATTTATGGACTTGATGCATGGCATTTTTAGTCCTTATTTAGATCAGTTTGTTGTGGTGTTTGTTGATGATATTTTGATTTATTCACCTTCTGAGGATGAGCATGCCTTTCACCTACGGACTGTGTTACAGATTTTGAGGGAACACAATTTATTTGCTAAATTCTCGAAGTGTAAGTTTTGGCTTCAGAAGGTGCAGTTTCTAGGTCATGTTGTGTCAGGTAGTGGGGTATCTGTGGATACTTCTAAGATTGACGTTGTTATAAGTTAGAAGAGGTTGAAGAGTGTGTTTGAGATTCGGAGTTTCTTAGGATTGGCAGGGTACTACCATTGGTTTGTAAAGGGGTTTTCTCGTCTTGCCTCACCGATGACTCATCTGATGTGCAAGGGCATTAGATTTGAGTAGACAGAGGACTGTGAGTATTCATTTCAGGAGCTGAAGAAGAGGCTGACTTCAGCACCATTCCTAATTATACCTGAGGGAGGTATTGGATATACCGTTTATTGTGATGCTTCACAAGAAGGATTAGGTTGTGTATTAATGCATGAGGGTAGAACAATAGCCTATGGCTCTCAGTAGTTGAACAATCAGGAGCAGAACTATCCCATACATGATTTGGAGTTAGCTACCATCATTTTTTCACTTAAGAGTTGGCGACACTACTTATATAGGGAGAAGTTCGCGGTGTTCTCAAATCATAAGAGCCTCAGATACATTTTCACGCAGAAGGACTTGAACCTTCGACAGAGGAGATGTATGGATTATATGGAGGACTATGACTTTGACCTTCAGTACCATCTTGGGAAGGCCAATGTCGTAGCAAATGCACTTAGTAGGAGACCGAGGAGCACTGTAGCTAGCATTTCTATTAGGGAATGGGAGATGATGCGAGACATTGGTGAGTTTGACTTAAACCTTGTCGAGTCTGAGGAACATGCCACACTATTCAGTGTTTGTGCACAGCCTACATAGTTGAGTAGAGTTATTGAGTCACATTTACAGGACACAGAGGTAGGGTAGATTCGAGCATGAGTTGCAAGTGCCGAGGGCTTTGAGAGATGGACAGTTCATTCTGACATTAGCCTGAGGTATATCGGTAGAGTCTTTGTTCCAGAGTCTCTTAGGGCTGATGTCCTTAGATATTTCCATCATTCACGCCTAACAATACACCTAGGGGGCACTAAGATGTACCATGGTTTACGCTGTCAGTATTGGTGGACGGGGATGAAGGGGGATGTGATGCAGTTTGTATCAAGATGTCTCACGTGCCAACAAGTTAAGGCTGAGCACCAGAGACCTGGGGGTTTGTTACAGCCACTGCCAACGACTGAGTGGAAGTGAGAGTTTGTTACCATGGATTTTGTGATGGGTCTTCCAAAGTCACCTAGAGGTCACGATGCATTTTGGGTTGTTGTTGACAGTTTAACGAAGTCTGCACATTTCCTACCAATTAGAGCGACTGATATAGTGGATGTTCTCAGTAGGTTGTATATCCGAGAGATTGTGCGACTACATGGGATTCCTGTTTCCATTGTTTCAGACAGAGATCCATGTTTCACTGCACGGTTTTGACAAAGTCTTCAGACAGCCTTGGGGACTCGGATACTTTTTAGTACTTTTTTTCACCCTCAGACTGACGGCCAGTCAGACCGTACTATTTAGATAATTGAGGACATGCTTAGACCATGTGTTATGGACTTCAAGAGTAGTTGGGAAGATTACCTTGCTTTAGTAGAGTTTGCCTACAACAACAGCTATCAGTCAAGTATTGAGATGGCACCTTTTGAGGCATTGTATGGTAGGTCGTGTTGTTCACTAGTATGTTGGACTGAGGTAGGGGAGACAGCTACCTTAGGGTCTGACATAGTCCGTGAAACCATAGACAAGATACAAGTGATTAGATAGCGTCTGTTGATAGCACAGAACAACCAGAAGAGTTATGTAGGCGGCGACCTCTATCATTTGATGTTGGGGGACATGTGTTCCTCAAGGTAGCCCCACGACGGGGATTAAGGAGATTCGGGCATAGCGAAAAACTGTCGTAGCGGTTTATAGGACCATTTGAGATCCTTGGGAAGATTGGTGAGGTGGCCTATAAGCTAGCATTACCACCATAACTATCTGAGGTTCATGATGTCTTCCATGTGTCGATGTTGAGGAAGTACGAACCTGACCCATCACATGTGCTAGATTTGATAGATCTTCAAGTGGAGGGTGATGTTTCTTATGATGAGAGGCCTTTGCATGTATTGGACTCGAGGGACTAAGTGTTGCGGTGCAAGACCATCCCTTTGGTCAAGGTTCTTTGGAACCATCATGGGGTCAAGGAGGTTACTTGGGAGCGTGAGGCTGAAGTCCGCACTAGGTATCCAGAGATTTGTTTATTCATAGAGGTACATTTCAAAATTTTGGTACTAAATTTCTTTAAGGGGAGAAGGATGTAGAGATTTGAAAAGTGAGGATAAATTTTTCAATTTTGCCGATATGACACTATTCATCTGACGAGTTGTAGTGTAACAGGGTCTTAGATTCATTAAAGGCAAAAGGGTCATTTTGCACCTTTTCCCTCCACTATAAATACAGCCCCCTTAGTGTAAAAATATAACACTTTGGTCTAAAGAAGGTGCAGTACACGTTCTTAGAGGGAAAAGGAAGAAAAACCCTAGGTTCTTTAGGTTTCAAGCCACCAAAACTCATTCCTAGGCTAAGAATCTTACAAAACTTCCTTCTAAGAAGTTGTTCCTCTCAACAAGGGCTATATTCTCATAGATTGGTTCGTATATACAGCAAACAAAATTCTCTTGGTTTGAGAAAATTCATTTTAGGTATGATATTTTGCTAAGTTAGGAATACATTTAAGTTTTCTTGCCTTTCTATGTGTTGATTGAATGATTTAGGTGTTTACTTGATGTTGTAAAATCAGTTAGGTGGTGGGTGCTTTGAAAACTTAGAGTTAGTAGTTTAAGTACTTTTGTGTTCTTTGAGTTTCTTGATAATTTGTTACTATGATGAAGGTATACTTTGTGTATGTGTTGAATTATTATATTCTAGTTTATGTTTATGTAAAGAAACTCTTGTGGTTTGAGGGTTATAATTTATCCCATGAGTTGGTAGTTTGTGTATTTGTATTTACCTTGAAAATTTGTGAAAGTAATGAACATGAAACTTGATTATATGTTTAATCCTTTGAATGGTGTCTCACATTGATGTAGATAATGTGTTTGATGAAATATTTCATAGAATTCACATTGAGAAAAATCAAGGCATCTTGGCATACATAAATCCTTGAAACATAGTGTGGGTTGAGCACTTTGTACTATGCATTATGAGGGTGTAGATCATGCGCTGAAAAACCCAAAATCTGGCCAATGACAGTATTCGCGGGCTGATGGGGGCAAATTGTGAAGCGAGACATGGGTGGCATAGAGTTGCATGGGTTTGTCATGCATATTGACATTACATAGCATTGAGGGATTACGGGATTGTAGCTTTTAAAATGTACACTTGCACATGCCACACCTTAAATTTGCTCCTAGCGTTAACACATTGTCATACTAATAGTAGAGCTGACACATTCGTGGGATATCATATTACAAATGAGGCTCCCAGTACTTCAGACTTGAGGAAATCTTAAAGGAAGGAGGAGAAAGGGGCTTGAATGGGTATTTGGCCTTGGGGCATATTTTGTATGCATGGGCATAAGCCCAAATGACTTGTATTTCAATTTAGAAAAGTAATGGATTATAGACCTTGAGCCATTTTAAAGTGTAAGGGTATAAACCCAATTGATATGTAGGATATCTCTATTTAATGAGTATCATATGTATATATTGAGACAACTAGATGTATATGTTAAAAACAAAGGATATATGTTTAATTTTCATGGATTGTGCCCACCGAGTGAGGGTGAGTTGTGATATACTTTGGATATGAAATATTAAAAGACAAAGGAGGTTATGTCAAAATTTTATAAAAATTAAAAGACTTGTTAAATGTGTAAAACACCTTTTAAATAGGTGGGAAGGATGTCAACAGTAGGGGTTTTGAAACCTTAAGAAATATGCTAAAAATGAAAGAAAAGTGGCTTGAAAAACTTTAGAAAAATGTGAATGAATGAGAATCAATTTATCTAACCTAATGACCCTTCATTTACTTTTCTTCTCTCTTTTCACTCACTCCCCGGACTTGTGGAAATTTAGGGTGTGATAACTTGGTATCAGAA